ATCAACCCTTCGATTGTTCCGAACTGTATTTCGTGTTGAACCGTTGTTCATCCGATCTGCGACGTACGGTTGATATCGGTCTCTGTTCGACCTTTGTTCTCTGTCGATCTCCCTTTGGTTTTTAGTAGCTGTCCTATTCTGATGCACGGGTCCATACGGAGCTCCCAACTGGTCATCTTCGACCCTAATTTTCGATTGATATTGGTTGTGTATATCTGCCCAAGTAATTGCTGGATACTCGATCAAATTTTGCTTCAGCCGACGTAATATTGTCAAACTTTGCTCGTTCAATCGGTGTGTTCACGGGGTTGCAATCGAGCATGTTGAACTTCTTCAAGATCTCCTTTGTATAGCTTTCTTGAGAGATGAAAATTCCATCCTCCATTTGCTTCACTTCTAGGCCCGAGTAGTATGACATGAGCCCTACATCTGTTATCTCGAACTCACGAGACATATATTTCTTAAAAGCTTCAAAAAACTTAGGTTATTAACCGTGAAAATAAGATCATCAACATAGAGACAAACAAGTAAGATATCTCCATTAGTATGAACTTTAAGGTAAAGAGCATATTCATGGAGACAACGAGAAAATCCATTGTCTTGAAAATACTTGTCAATGCAACTATTCCATACTCGTGGAGCTTTCTTTAATCCATATAAAGCTTTCTTCAATCGCAACACTTTATCTTCGTAGTTTTTGACCACAAAGCCCAATGGTTGTTCAACATAGACTTCTTCTTCAAGATAGCCATTCAAAAAAGCTGACTTGACATCTAGTTGATGGATCTTCCACTTCATTTGATCTGCCAAAGAGATAAGCAAACGAATCGTCTCCATGCGGGTAATAGGTGCATAGACTTCTTAATAGTCAATGCCTTGCCTTTGCTTGTAGCCTTTAGCCACAAGTCGTGCCTTGTATCTCTCCACATCTCCATCAGCATTCTTCTTTGCCTTGTATACCCATTTAACTCCAGTTGCTCGATGACCCTTGGGAAGTGTTGTTAACTCCCAAGTGTTGTTCTTCTTTATTAACTCGATCTTCTCCTGCATGGCTTGTCTCCACCTTTTGTCTTCAACAGCTTCATCAAAGTTCACTGGTTCACTATCAACAAAGAGACAATATAAAATATCAAAATTAGTAACTTCCTCTGTGTCCCCATTAGAGTTCTTGAATACTCCTTGTCCTTTGCGGTTGTTCATTTGAACTTTCTTGAGAAGAGAGAGATGCAACATTTGTTGGAGAAGGAGGTGGAGTTATATCCTGCACAGGTTCCACGGTTTCTGGTTCTTCTTCATCACCAAAGTATGGAAGAAAATCATATGAAGTTTCTTCCTGAGCATCCCAGTTCCATGCCAATTCTTCATCAAATTCAACATCACGACTTACCACCATCTTGCCGCTACTTGGGTTGTATAGCTTGTAGCCTTTTGAACTCGTATCATAGCCAACAAACACATGCTTGACACTTCGATCGTCAAGCTTCGCTCTCCCTTGATGTGGCACATGAGCATAGGCTATGCTCCCAAATATTCTCAAGTGCTTGACACTTGGCTTTCTTCCACTCCATGCTTCTTGAGGGGTTTGATCTCTAACATTCTTTGTTGGAGATCTGTTGTTCAAATAAACTGCACAAGATACAGCTTCTGCCCAAAATTCCTTGGGCATATTTTAGCTTTTAACATACATCTAGCCATATTAATAATCGTTCGATTCTTTCTCTCTGCAACTCCATTTTGTTGGGGTGAATAAGGTACCATCAGAGGGCGATGAATTCTATGAGATTTACAAAAGTCATTAAATTCGTTTGAAGTGAATTTGGCTTCTCTATCGGACCTTAAAGCTTTTATTTCATAGCAAATTTATTTTTCTACAAGTACTTTGAAATTTTTAAAAGTAGCAAAAGCTTCAGATTTTTGGTTCAAGAAATAAACCCAAGTCTTTCTACTAAAGTCATCAATGAAAAGTAGAAAGTATTTACTTTTACCAAAGGAAGGTGGATTGATTGGTTCACACCCATCAGTGTGAACAAGCTGAAGCGGCTTGGTTGATCTTGACATGGCCTCCTTTGGAAAACTCCTCCTTGCATATTTTCCAAGAAGACAAGCTTTACACAATTGATTGGGATGGCTTATTGATGGTATCCCATGCATCATTTTCTTTTCTCCCATTGATTTGAGCGCTTCAAAATTTAAGTGCCCAAATCGCATGTGCCAACACTATGATTCATCTTGCACATTAGCCTTCAAACACTTTGCATCAATTGTCTTAAGATTCAGAGAGAATAATCTATTCTTAGCATATGCACTTTAGCAATTAGAATTTCACTTGAATCTCTAGGCCAAAGATGCATATTTTTCTGTAGATGTCATATTCCTTTTCAAGAAGTTGGCCCAAACTCAAAATATTACTTTTTAATTTTGGGACATAATAAACATCTTGAATTAACTTGTGACTACCATCTTTACAGGAGATTAGAATCGTACCTATCCCTTCAATTTGAATCTTTGAGGTATCTCCAAAGGACACATTACTTCTCACCATTTTATTGATCTCCACTAACTTCTCTTTGCATCCACACATATGATTGCTTGCTCCATTGTCCAAATACCACGAGCTGCAATCATCCTTTTCTTCTTCCTTGAGTGCAATAAACGGCGTTGACTCAACTTCTTCTTTCTTGTCGTCAATAAGGTTAGATTTTTCTTCAATATTGCTACGACATTCCCAAGAGTAATGGCCAAATTTATGATAATTATAACACTCAATTTTTGATTTGTCATACCTTTATCCATTATTTTCTTGGTAGTAGCCACGTCCTCTTCCTCTTCTATGTCCACGACCATGACCTCTGAATGTCTAGTGGATTTTAACTTCATTATTGAAGTTGTTAGCGTTGCTTCTTACTCTTCCATGACTGCCACGACCTCGTCCCCGTCCATTCCCTCGATAGCTTTTTTCACCTCCATAATCTTTGAAGGATGCCCGAGTTTTAAGAAGTTGCTCCAATGACACTTCTTCTCTCCTCTTGATCTTTTCTTCATGGGCCTGTAAAGAACCCTCCAATTGCTCTACCATCATAGAGTCTAAATCTTTAGACTCCTCAATAGCACACACCACAAAATCAAATTTAGGTGTTAAAGTGCGAAGGATCTTTTCTACCACACGGACATCTTTTATGTCCTCCCCATATCTTCTTAATTGATTTACAAAAGCCTTCACTTTTGAACAATAATCTAAAATGCGTTCGGATTCTTTTATTTTTAAAACTTCAAAATCAGCCCTTAGAGTTTGAAGTTTTACCTTCCTCACCTTGTCAACTCCTTGAAGAGAATTTTGTAAAATCTCCCAAGCTTCCTTTGAAGTGGTAGTATCTGCCACCTTCTCGAACATGGCATCATCCAGACATTGATGGATGAGTGTGAGGGCTTGTTGATCCTTCTTCCTTGTCTTTGCCAAGATATCTTTTTTTATTTTGAGGCAGAGCTTGCTCATTATCGGATTTTGCATACCTTCTATCTACGATTTTCCACACATCTTGAGAGCCAAGAATGGCTTTCATACGTAGACACCATTTCTCATAATTATCTTTTGTGAGACGGGGGTACCGAAAAGACAGGGTACTATTATTTGCTATGGCTCTGATACCACGTTGTTGTGAAAAATAATAATCCCGTCCAGAAATAATATTCACGACAAATAATAATAACACAAGAGAGTAACAACGACACCAACTCTTTAATGGGTAAAATACAATACCCGAGCGGAGTAATATAACCACTATAATATTACAACTTAGTAGTGTCAAGAGACTACTACAATCTTGAAAGAAATAACACTCTTCATTTAAAACACTTCACTACAATATTACTCACACTCACTATTTATCTCACAGACTACAATCTGTGGATTACTCTCTCTAACTTCTATTGCTTCTCTCTTATTTTGGTGTGATTGAAATGAAGAATGAAGGCCTCTATTTATAGTAAGAGATGTCATTCAACTACTGCAAAGAAGATGTCTTGTTGTTGATTTAGTCCTATAATGTTTTAACAAAGTTAGACACCTCCCATTTTCTTCAACAAAGTTGTCAACAAAGTTAGGCACCTCCCATTTTCTTCTTTATTTTTCTTTAATATGAGCCCCACATAGTTTACGTTTTCTAGGCTGGTAATACACATTGTTTCAATACGCTATGCCCTGGATTTGTACGAGTAAACAATGAGATACCTGTTGATATGATTTTCGATAAGATTTCATGCCGTGGAGATAAGGGTTCATGGGAGTTCGCAATGAACATCCATCGGGTACATTTTATTTCCTTATGTTCAATTATTTTTTCAAGTTTCTAAAAGCTACAAAATACTAATATATATATATATGCCTTGTAAAAAATACCAATGGAAACTGGTGGGTTTTAGTTGATGAAACTTATGAACAAGTTGGTTTTTGGCCTCAAAATATTTTCACTAGCTTGGCAAGCTTTGCCGATAACGTTGAGTGGGGAGGCGTCGCATATAGCCCACCAGGTGTGCGTGAACCTCCAAATGGGCTCAAGTTATTTTCCCTTTGGATACACCAATTATGATGCTTATTGTAGGATACTTACCGTTTTAAATGATGAAGGCATGGCAATAGACGTAAATAGGACGACCATATATCTCGATGATTATCGTTTGTATCGAGTTCTGGATTTTTCACATATAAGACCTGGAAAGTTCCAACATTTTGTATTTTATGGGGGACCGGGAGAGAGTTTTCAAGTCTAAATCCAGTTACTTAATTACTATCATGATAATATTTAGTTTCTATGTCAACAAAATATGAAGAATGTTTTTGTTCTTGACCAAGCAATTCTTGACATATGGTCTTCCTGCAATTTCTAAAGTAGTGCAATGTTGACAATTTCAAAGTTCAATTTTCTTCCACCTATAAATTGCCAAACAAGGAAAATCAAAAGCAACTTAACTCAAGGATCACAACTGACGTTGATACATTAGAATTCTTTCAGAAGTAATATTTTGGAATATCCTATTCTTGTAGCAGCCGCGAACCAAGAATAATATATAATGATACATTGCAAAACTCTTATGCAGTAAAATAAGCATTATTATCAAAAATCTTTACAGGATTTTTATCTGTAAGTCTGTAAGTATAAATGATTTACAGGCCTCATTAACCAAAGAAGAGAGGCATATTTGGTTCTTCATTCTGCTGATTTGCTTTTGCTAAATCATAACCTTGACCAGCAACTGGATAAAAATCCTTTCTTTTTCCTGCATTATAGGGCAACAACCATGTCTTAGGATTAGACCAACACTAAATTTTTAGCTTAAAACAACAGAATATGCTTAGTTTTACTTTGAATCAGAATCTAATTAAGTAATCTCTCTTATTTAATTCTTTCTGTAACTGCATTCTACAAACTTTTCTAGGCTTCCAACATTGGTGTTGTGAAATCTAGTTTATAAGTGAAAAAAATTAAAATTTAAAGAATCTGATTAAGTAATCTCTTTTATTAAATTCTCTTCTATAGCTGCATTATGCAAGCTTTTCTAGGATTCCAACTTTGGTCTGATGATATCTTATTCATAAGTGAAAACATTAAAAATGTTCAATAGCTTTCCATTAACAGCACCACTGATTTATTGAATCCCAAAAAAGAAAAATCTATTCTTTGTTCTGTTCCATTTGTCCTAATATGCAAACACAATTTGCCAAAGATCACACTAGTCAAAGTCAAAGTCAAGTTCAAATTTCCTTGCAAAGACTACACAAAGTAGAAAACAACAAAGAGAAACAAAAAAATATTTATACATTGATCAATCTTGATGGGATAATTGTTACATGTTGTATTGTATCGTATTTTACTTTAAATATAGTGTTTATTTTGATTATTACTTAAATTTTATTATATCGTATCGTTAAATCCGTCGCAAAAAGTGCTACTTTATGGAACAACCGATTCGGTGTGGTCGCGTCGTTACCTTATTTTTTCTCTCATCTTGCCTTTCCATATTATTAAATAATCATATTTTATCATTTACCCTGCATTTTTATATAATAATTCTACCTAGTACCTTACTTTTTCTTTATAATATTGCAAGTTTATTCTTTATATTGGTGGTGCATGACATCATGAAACAACTGAAAACGATACAATCTATCCAAACATGTATGCATCAAACGATACAGTACAGTACAATACAATACAATAACATACGATACATAACACCATCCAAACAAGCTGAATCAATCTTTGCTTTGATCATTCATAGATTCCAAAACCAATCGGTTAAGGTACACCTTAAGTTGTGTTTTCTCAGAAAAATTGCAGATTAGTGATCTTATCTCATATAATGCTAAGTCTTTCAACAATTCAAAATACCAAGAAACCTCAATATTTCAAACTCAGTGACAAGATTCAAGAATATATTGACTTGAGAAATTCAGAATTTGAAGATACCTGTTAGTATTTCTTCTGCTACTAATGTTGTTGCTACCATTGCTGCCACTGCTTTCACTGTTACTGCTGCCTGTTCTGCTACTATCACTCTCACTTGAACAGGAAAATCTCCTCTTCCACCAATCTTTCTCCACACTTTTTGAAGATTTATCTGAACCTTCTGCTGGCTTAGGTGAAACTTTAGTAGTTGTTTTTGGTGAATACTTGTTCTGCTTCTTCTTTGACTCCAATGAAATTGGGAAAAACATCTTGAGAAAAAGCCTTTGATTTTCAAAGCTTTCATTTCTAATCATCTTCCCTTTCTTTTGGTGATCATTCTTACTGCTATTACTCTTATTTTTACTACTACTATTACTACTACTCTCTTGCCTTTGTATGCTCTTCACCCTTTGCTGCACAACTTGTTGTTCTGGACTAGTTGTACTAGTAAAATTTCCCTCCTCCTTACTGATTAAGCATTCTTCTTGTTCAGATTCCAAGACTGTATTTTGCTCAACAAGATCCTTAAGAGACAACTCATAGCAAGATTCAGGCATGTTTTTGACCATTTCCATAAGTTCAAATTGGCCTCTAGCTATAGCTAAAGCTCTAGAGCTATTTGAATGTGACCGATAATTTGTCGAAATTTGATGGCTATTTTTCCATAAGGGTGGTGAAGAAACACCAGATTCATCACCGTAATTAACATGGTTTAAACTTTCTTGAACTCTAAATTGGACACTTTCAACTTCATTTTTAGGCCAATTCCTAAGGTTGTAACTGTAATCTGAGGTTGTAACAGGATCAAGAATTGGGATATGATCATTGGGTTTTTGGTTTCTTGGATTAAACATGGCTATTAGATGAAGGGAATATTTTTTGGGGGGAGAGGAAAAGAGGGGAAGAATGAGGAAAATATTTGTGGTGTGAAGTGTGTATGAAGAAGAGGAAGGAGAGATGGCATTGTCATAAATGTATTCAAAATAAATTAATAATAGAAAAGTTCCTTTTTAATTGTGCCTTGCCTTTTGTATGTTAGGAAAGAAAAAAGACAATCAATAAATACTATATAGGATCTATCCGGATCCAAGTATGAATGTTACTTTCTTCTATTTTTATTATATTTGTCTTTTAAAGTACTATGCATTTCGTAAGAAAGATATTAAATTTTCTTAATCATATGTATTTGTTCAAACTATACTCTTTTAATATTTTATTTAATTAATATTTTACTAATTAGAACAGTAATGGAAAAAATTAATAATTAACAAATTTAGTATGTCAAAATTACTACTCTATTTGGGAACAATAAAGCATTACGTACCATAAAAAATGGAAAGATAAAAAAGAAAGTCAAGGGTTTCTAGAATGGTGAGCGTAGGGGGCGTATTTGTTTTCTATTTCCCTTATTTTTGTCTCACTTTTGGGCATTGATTTTTAGCATTTGGTCGCCTCATTTTTCTATTGAATCAAAGGACTCAGTTGTCCCTTTTCATACGTCGATTGACGATACATTAAATGGTCATTTGATGGGATCTAAGATTTGAAAGGTGACGAATGTCATAATTATTTTTAATTTATATCTTATTTTTTTAGTTTTTAAAGTTTATTCGAATCAATCTAATAGGTATTTTTTATTTGCAAATAAAAAATTACATCTTAGATATCGAAAAATAAACGTAATTAGCATTTAAAATAAGAAATACCACCTTTATTATAACAACACAAGTAAAATTAATATTTTTACTAGGAAATTACATCTTTCCCTGTATATTAAAAATAAATTTACACAAATAAAATATAATCTTCAATAAAGGAAGTACATCAATCAGAATATTTTAAAATAAATAAATTATTCCCCAGAAGTATAAACTTAAATAAACTACAAGTTCCAAAAATCAAAATCATAAGTCTCATATTTTTTAAGCAATGATTACGAAATTTTCATCATAATTTAATAGTAAAAAGATTTAAATTATATTTAATAACCATATAATAATACATTTTTTATGATATAATTAAAAAAAGATGAAAACAATTTGATCTCAATCCAAATTCTCATTAAGACCCAAGTATTTTCGGATTTGAAAAAAGAAAACTCATAAATTTAAGATTAAGAGGAATGCTTATTTTATATTAAAGTTTTGGAGTTTCTTTTTTGAGTGTTGTTGCTAGATACCACATATAAAATAATAGAATAGAGAAAAAATATAAAAAAAATACTAAAACGATAAATAAAAAATTGGGAGGTAGTCGAAAGGGGCAATGACTACAAAAGAAACCTATTAAAACCAAATATCGTAGGGTATAATTATACTTCATTTTTTTTTAGTTTCATAAGTAAATAAATACTTTACAAGATACTTTATACTCCCAATTTTAAAACACCCAACAAGAAATATGTATTACTAATATCCGTATTATTAATCTCTGCGTTACTAAGTTATACATGCACCTCGGTAAAGTTCATCGACTTTGAGCTTGGATTGTTACTGATTTGATGTTAACAAGGAACAGAATTCTCTACCACCATATGTCAAAACCTATGACTAAAATGTACATAACTCGATGTCTTAATTCGAATTGACATTTAGTCAAAATAAACCTAGATCACCAACATATTGCATACATAGTTGCTTTGGCTGTACATATGATCATATATTCTTCTTCTTTCTTAAGAAATTGGTTGATGTCATAAATATTCGAATATAGTTTATTTTTATAATCAATTTTGCAAATTTACATAAAAACAATTACTACTATAAACGTAAGCATGTTGTCAGTCCAAAATGAAGAAAAGGTCAAAATAAGTACAAAAGAATTATGTAAATAATAAAATAAAATAAAATAAAATAAAACCAATTTCAACTTGTTGATTTTCACTTCGTTAGAAAATTAAGTAACCACCAAGAATTATGACGGGATAGTTAGGATCCTTCGAGAGCGGATCTATAGCCTTAATCATGGGGCACGTGCACCCGTGATCCTTTCGTCAAATTGAATATTTTATGTTTGTATTTTCTAGAATTATTCTAATATTATGTATTGACACTCATGCTCTATATTAATTGAATATTACACTTGATTCAATACTTAATTATTTACTCAAAAAAATACAGATCAATTCTCACTTTATATTTTTTCCTCAAATGAAAAAATTCTAATAAAGAGGGCTTGTTTGTTCGTTTAATTAATCTTGCGCAATACGAAATCAGATTAGTCAGTAGCAAAGTAGTACGGGATCCGTGTGGAAAACAGAATCAATTGCACGTGTTGGCCATGACTTTTGAAAAAATTGTCTTGGTTTATGTCATAATGAGTGAATATTATATTTCAACGAAAAATAAAATACTGCTGAAATGATAAGGATGGAGAGCAAATTAAATAATGGAATGGAGAGCCGCCTAAAAATTTGTTTTCTTTTTTGTTTTGGGAGGAAGTGAGGGTAGCCGCTGATTTGCAACTTGGCCCACTAAGTATTGAGGAGTGGCGAATCTACCCTGCTAAAGAAATTATATATTCAGTGAAAGTAGTAGTATAACTATAAACCAAGCAGCTAGTAGTGTAAAAATTGAAATCATAAGAATCGGCTAGTAGTATAAAAATTAAAATCATAAAAAAGGGCAGTCCGGTACACTAGAATTATAAGAATGATAAATAAAAATAGGTATAAACAATGTTTAAAAAGCGTGGGCGTAAGACGAGACGTTTTACATATGTCTCAAAGAGGTGTAAGCTCCATAGATATTTAATTTTATAATATTTTATAAAATAATATAATTATAGTAAATATTTTTAAACAGATAAAATTGCATAAAAATTAAAGAAAATTATATATATATATATA